CCCCCCGCCCCACCCGGCATTGTAGCGATGCGAAGTCAATTTTCTAGACTGACGACTGCGGCAATGCGGCATGTGTTCGAGTACCCCACCCCTCCCTCCCATTGAAACTGCACTCCTAACAAAGTTGTCCTCTCAACAGCCGATAAAGTTACGGTAGTAGGGGTCGGCTTGACAAACGCGAAAGAGGGAAGGAAGCCGATGCCGCCACAAATCAGGGGGGGGAGGGGGCGAGGAGTCTTCGTCACGATCCTACTGCTGTTCTTCCCTATACCCCTGCCGTCTCCCACATTCACTCACGAATGATCATGAACGAGTTGTTTTTGTTCTTTTGGACGGGGGTGATCTATCAGCAAGAAAGCGCGATTGCAAGCATTTGTTGTTGTCGTGCCTGAAGTCAGCTCACAACAATCAACCGAAGCAGGTCGCCTTGACGAACGAGAAAGAGAAAGACGGTGCCGCCATAGTTCGTGCCGGGGGGGTGGGTATACTCATAGTCGTGCATGCCGTAGTCGTTAGACCATTGACCTCGCATACCTACAAAGCCGGGACGGAGCACGCCGGGTTCTCACCGGACCAGGCTCTCACATCACCAAGCGCGAAGCGCCGTGAGATATTCGGCGAGTCGCATGAAGGGTGAACTGCAGCCTGCTAACGGTGTTCGACATCTTGTGCTTACTTCCTTGCGTATGGATGACAGCTGCGCATGACTAACCTAATTTTTTGGTGCTTTCACTTCCACAGACAGTAATAAGCACTGTGTAACTGCCTCGAGGGTGCTTGACCAATTTCACACAACGTGGTGCGATCATCCCCCTTGCGCGGAGCGAGTGTTGTCCACCCCGCACAACATGATCTACTCGACCACCAGTATGGTTACCGCCAAAAAAAAACCGGTAACCTGGTTGCCGAGTTCACGAAGTGAAATTGGCTTGTTTCACAACGTCGTTGCCAAGCGATTAAGGCCCAACCCCGATGGCAAACACCGGTGGGGGCGGAGGGGGGGGGTAGGACGTCCTTTATTTACTCCTACTCTGCTCCTCCTCCCTACAAATTCGCCTTTGTCCCACACGAGAGTTTTCTTGTTGGACGTGACGGGGTGATCTTTCAGCACGCGCGATTTCGAGAAGAGCGTTTATTGTTTTGCCTCAAGTCGACCTACTTAAGGCTTGTTCTTCGTTGTCTGGCATGACCGACAGATAGCTGTTCTCGCGAAAACGATGTGAGTCTCCGTCCATGCCTGCCTGCCTGCCTCTGGTGGAGACACGAAACTTGTGGGAGACACCTGTCGGTCACCATATGGATGCGTGCGAGTCCCCCGTGGCGCGTGTGTGCCCCCCCGACAATATCCTCTGCTGGTGGTACACGGCGGATGGATGGGTGTTCCTTCGCCTGCCTGCCAGTCCGTCCTGCGCACTGCTTGGTTGCCGTTCGTTCTCGACCATCACGACCAAGATGAGCCAAGAAGAGCCTTCTTTCTCGTCCGGCGCAACGTCACGCCCAGCTCGGCCAAAAAAGCTGACGACGAGCTCAACTTAAGTTTCAGCAAAAAACTAACGCTTTACAGAGTAAGATCGGCTTACCCGGTCCAATGGTGATGATGGTTGAGGTCCCCCAAGGCCGGTGACAGACGAGCACCACGTCCATCCTCGTTTCCCCCGGGGAGTATACAGCCAGACACACACGCACACCGAACTGAGAGCGACACCCTTAACTTAAACCCATCCACCCTCGCAAAAAAAAAAAAAAACTCATGGAACTTTTGATCCAGAACCCGTGAGAACTTGGCCCTTGTCTGCATCAGAAGGCAAACAGACACCAAGAAGATCCGACAGCATCGCCTTACGGTGCTCATGTCTGTTGCCATTTACTTCTGCCACTGCTGCTGATGCTGCCACCACCACCACTTATACCACTACTACTTTGGAAGAAGGCTTGACTGCCAGGCGTTTGCGTCGCCACAGGCCCCGCAATCAAGAACCATCAAGGAAGAAAAAGAGTCTTGCACCGTAATTTCAACGCTCACTGCATGCACGCGTGCACAACTAACCAAGAAGAGGAGCGCGCGACGCTTCATAGAGTAGCAAATACGGCACCCTACCCTGCGGTCGCAAACGTGTTTTTGCACACCCACAAACGCTGCCTGGATATTACGCGAGAGCGATACACCCCCGGCACTCGGCACACAGTCTCGCCGAAAGAGAGTGCCGACCGAGTTTACCACCAAGGAAATCGGAGGAAAAAAAGAAAAGCAAGGTAAGGAACTCACGTAGCCGAGAAAACAGGAGCAAACAAAATAGATTCTGCTGCAGAATTTGACCCGTCGAGCTGGCTACTTAAGTTAGTTTCTTCAGCGCCGGCGGTCCCTGTCCTTCTTATCCCGATCCCTGTCCCCTCTTTGCAAACAAATCATACCCAACCACAACAAAACAGTCACACACCAAAGACCCCCGACCGTATAGAACAAAAAATTTAACGAGGTGAGCCAGAACGGTCCACGGAACGAGAGGTGAAGAAGAATAAGACCACGAAGAAAGAGGACGTCAAACACGCATCGTCCATCAGCACAATAATCGAGAACAGGGCGTGTTTTGGTTTTTCGCACGAATGTCGGTCATAAAACAATAGTAATAGTGTCGGGAGAACAAGCGGGGGGACGGGGATCGATGGGATGGAGGCGGTCATACACAAAAACAAAGGAGGGTTTGATAGGAGAGAGATGGGAGGCATACATCCGATTTCGCCGGCCCCGTGTTGGCCCCGAGACAGCAGAGAGGAATAGACAAGATGAGAAGAAAGAACGAGAGTAGGAAGAGAGGAGGCACGCAAAACACAAAAAGCGGAGCAGCACGAGGGGGGAGCGGGGGGGCGAGGGGAGGGGTAGCATCGCACACGGCGTTGGCGTTAGTCCAGAGGATAGTGCCGCGATGGACATTTACGTATGATGATGACCTTCGAGAGCAAAAAGACAGGCAAAGGGAAAGACCAACAACCTATGAAGACCTCCCACATCGATATTTCACCCGCTGTTGCCCGAGGGTAAGACAAAAACAATAGGCCAAATCGACGCGGTCTATACATGAATTTATAGCCGAACAGGAACTCCCAACACGACGATGCCACTTCAAGGCAACAGACCTTCGGCAACAGCGGATCCGAACCGCACCTACTCCTGCTGTACAGCAGCGTACCATACGGCAACACCAAAGCCCTCGGCTAGACTACTACTACGACGACGCCTACTGGTTCGCGGCGGCACCAGCAACAACAGAACATACCCGAAATATACCTGTTGCTGGTCTATGCTACGGTTGGAGTGGTACTGCGCAGAGAGACCGCCGCAGTTCGTCTCGCCGAAAACTAAAAAAAAAAAAAAACGAGTTGCTGTTCGGTTTCAAACTCTTCCGCCACCCTTGCCTATCCCTACCTGTCGCTGCTCCTCGCCCGCTTCGCCCGCTTGGAAGAAGGGCTGCGGCTCTTGCTCCTTTTAGACGAAAACACGTGGGGCCGGAGATGCCGTTATAACGCATGCGGTAATTCAGCAAAAAACTACCAAGTAGTATACAGCCGTGGAGTTTTTTCTATACTTGTGTTTCAACACCCGGTCCACGTGTTGCGGCATGACCACAACTCTTTGACAATGCCCGTCACCGAGTACCTAGGGAACCAACAGGACCCCGTAGAGAACTACCGGAAAAAAAACAGTGCAAACATAAAAAGAAACAACTGCACAAAAACACACCTGCTCCGCCTACGGTCTTTTCTCTTGCCGTCGCCGCCGCCGCTGCTATCCTTGTCGCCTCTGCTGCTGCCGTCCCTTGCCTTGTCTTTGTCTCCGCTACGGTCGGCCCTGCCGCTACCGCCGTCCTTGTCTGCCGCCGAGTCCCGACCGCTGGTGCTCTTTCTGTCGAGCCTGTCGGATCTACCCCGCGAGCTGTTGCGCATAGTACCGCAGTAGATTTTTCCAACGTTTTTCAAAGGCAGGCGCGTGAGAGCAGCCGAGAGGATCAGGCAGAGAGGCGTGTTGGATATTTCCAATATATATATATTTTTTTTCAAGACAAGCACGTGAGCAGCCGAAAGGATCGGGCAGAGACGCGTGTGATGATAAGCGAAGGGGGGGGGGGAGGGG